CAGGAGAAAAGGGAGAGAGATAGAGAGTCAGAAACATCGATAAGAGAGAAACATCGATCAGCGCCTCCTGCACATCCCCCACTGGGGATGTGCCCGCAACCCAGGTACATGCCCTTGACCGGAATCGAACCCGGGACCCCTCAGTCCGCAGGCCGATGCTCTATCCACTGAGCCAAACCGGTTTCGGCTAAAACTTCTTTACATATGATTTTTGTTTTGTTTTTATTGCTTTCAGAGAGAAGGGAAAGGAAGATAGTGATAGAAACAGCAACAATGAGAGAGAATCATTGACTGACTGCCCCCTACTAGGGATCGAGTCGGCAACCTGGGCATGTGTCCTGACCGGGAATCGAATCATGACCTCCTGATTCATAGGTCAATGATCAAGCACTGAGCCACACTGGCTGGGCATATATATAGGGTTTGTAGGGAGTTCTCAACAATGGTAGTTACTATTATCATCCTCATGAGAACCAATGCTTGAAATGGTTTTTTTCCCCATATAGAGAAAGAAATGAATAAGACTTTAAAGCTGATACTTCGCAAACATACCAATATAGTTGCCTTCCACACGGCACTGCAGAGTGCCAAGACCATGGTCTTCCTGAAGGGGGTAGCTAGGGAAAGAACCAAACACCTGGGTGACAATTCCCAGACAACTCAGTTCAGAAGCTCTAAGTCTTTAGTCATAAAAGTAAAGCAATAATAATAATAATAGCAAATTAGACAGAGAAAGTTGGTAGATACTAAAAGCAAAACGAGGTCATTGGGACAGATGCTTAGGGCACTACTAACGAGGGTTGTCATCTCATTTGCCACCAGTGAAAAACACAGTGTGAGAGACATTTTACTTACTCCTACCCTCCACTCAGTCCTGTCTTTCCAAAATCCATTTTATGACAAGGATAGTAAAATTCTTATTTTAAAAAATCTATTGGCAGGAGTGAACTCAAAAAAGGACAATCCTGGGCAGACAAACTTAAGACACCAGGAAGAAACCACATTATAGAATTTGGCTCTACTAAATGCTAGTCCAAAAAACTAAGCTACAGGGCATAATTCTTGTGATGACCTCAAAGGGAGGTTAATCCACTTAGTCTAGAGCAGCGGTTCTCAACCTGTGAGTCGCGACCCCTTTGGCGGTCGAACGACCCTTTCACAGGGGTCGCCAAAGACCATCCTGCATATCAGATATTTACATTACGATTCCTAACAGTAGCAACATTACAGTTATGAAGTAGCAAAGAAATTAATTTTATGGTTGGGTCACAACATGAGGAACTGTATTTAAAGGGCCAGAAGGTTGAGAACCACTGGTCTAGAGTAAAGTGAAAATCCAGCAAAAATGTTGGTTATCTGGACTGTAAGTATGTAGACACACATTTTAAAAATTGTCATTGAAATAAATAAATATATATAGTAGTTGCTTTTGTTAGCTAGTCATTATAGTATAGTGGTTAAGAGCATGAATCTGGAGGCTGAAAAGTCAGCCAGAGTTCAAATCCTACCTTTGTCACTTTCTCTTTGTGAGACATTGGGCAAGTTACTTAACCTCTCTGTGCCTCAGTTTCCTTAGCTATCAAGTAAGACTAATAACTATATGTACTCACGAGGTTACTGAGCGGCTTAAACATAAAGCATTGGAGCAGGGCGTGGCCTACAGTAAGCACTTAGGACAGTGATGGCGAACCTTTTGAGCTCAGCGTGTCACCATTTTGAAAAACCCTAACTTAACTCTGGTGCCGTGTCACATGTAGAAATGTTTTGATATTTGCAACCATAGTAAAACAAAGATTTATATTTTTGATATTTATTTTATATATTTAAATGCCATTTAACAAAGAAAAATCAACCAAAAAAATGAGTTCACGTGTCCCCTCTGACACGCGTGTCATAGGTTCACCATCACTGACTTAGGAAGAAGTAGCTATTGTTTTCAAGAAAGGTTTCAGAATCACTTCAATTTGCATTTTGAATTAATTACTGTGCCTTTTTCAGAGTCTAAAGACAAAGCATTCAACAATTATGGTAATTTGTATTTAAAAATAGGTGTGTGTGTGTGTGTGTGTGTGTGTGTGTGTGTGTGTGTTCTACGCAGGTGGAAGAACCTAAAAGCATATATACTGGCAAGAAAAACACTCACCAGCTTCCAGTCTGCCTATTTACAAGAGAGCAAGGAGTGACCCAGTAGTCTCCTTGAGCTTCCAAGATCAATGGGCTGGGGAAAAAAGTGGGTGGGGGAGACAAGAGACAATAGTATGCAATGCTTCCAGCAAGCATTCCAGGCAAAATTCAGACAAAACATTGTTATGAACATTTTCCTCTGGATTTATGGAGTATTACTGCAGTGGGTGAAGTCTGTCCCCTGAGGACATGTTGAACCAAATTCTCAGCCTGAAGGTAGGGGTGCACAACACTGTTTCATGGTTCATCCTCTCACACTGCAGAGGGAGCATTTCTTCTCTCCCGAAAAATCTTCATCCTCTCCACATTGGCTATCGTGGGTCTACACAAAGCTATAGAGGAGTTTATGCCTTTGCTCCCCCTTTCAAAGGCTGCTTCCCAGACCAAGGCTAAAATGGAACCAAGTAGTGAATAAGGCATATTGCCAATGGTGTGCTTTGGGCTTCTATCTTCCACAGGAAAATCAATTTCCTTTCAAGACAAGTTGACCATTACTGAATGCCAGAAATGTAAATCTTGAGAGTACTCGAGTCTCATTCTCTTCAACTAGGGAAGAATCAAAGAGAGGAAGCTGAACAGAGGAGGATGGCCCACCCTGTCCAGGGGGTGAAGGAAAAACTAGACACTGTATACAGAATCTACTCAGCCGAGCATATAGTAAGATTATGTGCCTTCTACTTTGTAAACTCTCACTGGAATTGCTTCATAGGTTAAATAACCACCTTCAACACTCCCTTCTTATTCTCCTCTCTTTCTGGTATGGATTATTTAGTAGTATCACATTCCATTTTTTTAAAGCTTCCAATAGAAAAAGTCATGTTGACATCCTAATCACTCCCAGAAAACATTAAAGACTCAATGGCTTGCAGTACCTTCTTCCGTATTTCCTCTGATGACACTAATAGAATTTCTAAATGCACAAACGGAGAGCAACCAAGCAAGGAAGTTAATGGTCTTTTGGGTTCACACACCATTTTATAAAGAATTTAGTTCATCCTGAGGAACAAAACGGGGAAGGGGAAGAATGGAAAAAGAAAATCCACAGATGCAATTACAGTATAATTCACACTGAGCCCAGAGTGACTAGTTGTCAGTAAATAAATGGACAAACTTAATCGACCAGTCGCAATTACATTAGCAAAGTTTGCTGAAGCCCAGCTCACCAGGGACCATAAACTGCAAAGAGGGAAAATAGTAATTCTGTGCCAACTGCTTACAATTTATTGCTATCAGTGAAGCCGGCCCCAGGAAACAATACAGCATATTTGTAACTAGTTGTACGTCAAAACAAACATACGCTTACCTATCAATGTACTCAGCATTAAAATCAAAGGTTTCCAATTGTCCAGTGATAATCCAGCCATGCACATGTATTAGTTGTCCTGTTTAGTAGAGAAGATTTTTAAAAATCGAATATACTTAGCTCAAACTCTAAATGAATAACATAAACTGTATTTCTTTTTATACATTTCAATATGGCCAAGATGGTCATGATTCAGAATATTTACTTCTTTATAAACTGTACAACAGGAAAGGATCATGATCCTTTGATTAATATTACTGATCAGCAAGGTTAAAATAACCACTGATTGCAATTATAGTTTAATACTCTATGTATCTTGCATAGAAGGAATAGTGGGCCTTCCTCACAGTCCCATGAAGCAGGAAGCTTTTAAGAGGAGCAGCCGGTTTCTGTACATGGCTCCTTTCTACTTGCTTGCCTGTGTGTAGGCCATCCACCCAATGTGGGATTGAAGAGCAGCATGCCTCGGGCTGCTCCACGCTTCATGAGACTTTCCTCTGGACACTTGCTAATATGAACTCCTGTGATATGAGGAGGCTCCTATCACCTGGATGGGTACTCAGGGATACTAAACTTTTTTTCCATATCTCAGAGTACAAAAGATAAATATCATGTTTGACCAAAACGGACCGGAACTAAAAGAAAGGGCATGAGACAGCAGCGGAATTATGGGCAATCACATGTCTTGTTCATTTCATTAATGTGCTCATGTTCAAAGGTAGGGTAATTTGGGGATCCACAAACAGCTGGTGTGTGCCTTGCCTGCTGAAACATGGGTGACTTCTGTGGGGTTTCTCTATGTGACTTGCAGGACTTTCCATTGGGTATTAAGTTTTTTCTTAATACTCCCCTCTGTTGAGTTCATAAGATGAATGAAGTTGCAGGCATCAGCGGTCTCCTTTCAGCAAGGCACACTTCAGTACAACCCCTAGCCCCTCTGCTTCTAGGAGTAGGGGAAGAAATCTAAAGTAGCCCCTTCTCAGAAAGAGCTCGGGGGCCCTACATGAGCTGGTCACTTCCATAGTTGAAAAACAGCTAAACTCAGTTCTGTGGACCTGCAGGAGGCAACTTTTAAGCAAATACATCACAGCGAGGTTATGATGTTAAATAAAGATCACCACGCAACCCCCAACCTGGAAGAATGTGCCTTTCAAAGAATTACAGAATTTAACCATCTATGCTGTCATCTTTCATCATCACCTACAATGTTTACACATGAGAGACGTGTTGGATCAGGAGGTAAAACTTCTAAAATAGAAAAGAGAAGGGCACCTATGGGGTTCATGAGGTCACTGAATTCAGAGGACTTCAGTGGCCTTGAAAGAACATTACCATGTAATTGTCACCTTCACAGTAGATGACTGTATTGAAACAATGAGAACCTTCCAGGAAGTATTACCCACTTCACAGGTGAATGGGTAGAAAGAGAGGAAACCTAATGACTTAGGCAAAGGTCAGAGAGTTGGCAAAAGCCTATTGTCTGAAGGTCTCTGCTACTGCCAACAATTAGCAAAATAATTCTCCTTCATTTTAGTAGGGCTCAATTACCGACGTCCTGACTTTGGTGGACATGATTTCTAGCTTTGAAGAGCATAATTTTAGAAACTACTAACAGGTTGTAGAAATTAAGAATTCTTGTGAGTTTCTATTTTGTTTCTAAACAGAGAGAGAAAGACCAACCGAATCTGACAAATGGCTAAGCCAGACTGTGAGGCTGGAGGATTCTGCGTCACAGTGAACGACTGTTAACCACATATAGAAATTCAACTGCTCATAAAACATCGACTCTCCTGTCCCCACCACCTCCCCCATCTCCCTGGCTGCTACTCTGGGCAGCCTTCCCAAATGAAATGAGAGTAATCGTGTGGAAAGTGATTTCAAAGATGCAGCCGGGTGGATCCTGCCCAGAGGGACCACTCCAAGCAGGTCAGTCACCAATTGTTCCCCCAGAAGGTGGAGGAGACAGTGTGTGGAAGTCAAACTCGGTGGGAGAAATGGGTCTGACAGATCTGGGTACCAGCTGACATCCCATTTCACACTTCTAAGGGCTGGCTCCTTCATCATGCCTCACCCTAACAAGACTTCTTCTGCCATCTAAACAGGCCTTTCTAAACCCAGAGCAGCAGGATTCCAAATGTCTGCATGTGATTTTCATAGACCACATCTCTTTTTAATAAAACATTATCATGTGCTGATTATTCAGACAAATGGAAATAAACAGATCTGTGAATAAACTGCATTAATAAGGTAAAGCTGAAACTGTGCCTATATATACACACACAGATGTACAAACACTTTTTAGTAACTCAGATGCTCATTTTGGCATTCTTGAGCAGTCAAGCCATTCAAAACAACCAGTTAGTTTATGCATTTAGACACAACCACACATAAAAATTTGGCAACTTGTATTCCCATCTGGAAACCCTGAACAAATTAAAGAAACCTAAAATACATGTAAGACTTTGCCAAGAATCAAACAGCAAATTATATATCATCCTAGCTATGTTTACGACTTCGTTTGAAAGCAGGTTTAGCGGTTCCTGAATCTCTTGGTTGCAATCACTTCTTTAATGTTAATCCCCCAGCTTTCTCGCCTTCTCTCCTAGCCTCTTGGCCTTTGCATATCTGTGAACTAACTCATGCACAAACCCCCAGGATAAGGGATCAGGGTTAATGATCTTCATGTGGTATCCAACACTGCTCAACACAGGACAAAATGTTGGGCATATGGGCCCAGTCTGGTTTCTGACTATCTAGGTTCCAATCTCAGCTGTACACTTATTAGCAGGATGACTTTAGGCAAGTGACTTAACCTCTTGGTATCTATTTCCTCATTTGAAAAATGGGAATAATAACAGTTCCTACAGCATCAGGTTCTTGTGAGGATGTAATAATGTAATATATGCCAAAAGCTTGAACAGAACCCGGTTCACAGTAAGTTTCAATAAAGCTTTGCTATTATGTGGCGAGTTATTAAGTCACAGCAATGAAGATTTCTATTTCCTCCATTCTCTGGCAGCACCTGGTTTGATTTTGCTGCCTCTCTTTTCGTGTTGGGATTCCTTTCGTTATCAGTGAACTAATAGAGCAAAAGTGCCCAGAGGTGAAAACAAACCAGGTTAAAAATAAACCAGAGACCACTTATTTTCAAAACAGCATCACAGAAGAAGCTGGAATTTCCCATTTAGGGAGACTACCCACCTGGGTAGAGGAATTTGCAACAGGCGTTGTTGGCAAAGGGATTCACAAGTGTTCCTATTTTAGTAGGAGATGTCTTACCTGGAACTCCGCTTGGTGGACTCACTTGGTAAACAATGGGTGTCTGTGCCCTGGAAAACTGTTCAGAAAATGTTATCACAAGTGAGCAATTCATTAGAATCTCACCACCACAAGCACAGGAAGCACAAGTCATTCCTCACAGAGCGTCCAGCTAAGGTAGTAAATGGTATATTTCCTCAAACCATCTTAAATCTAGCTCTTTTTATTTTTGTAATATTTCTGTAAAACGGGAGTGGCAGATATCATTACAGCTCTTCTATGGATGAGGTAAAGGAATTCAATAAAAGTCATATAAGAACGCACCCTTGTACCATGTTGCCCAAACTTTGGCAAGAGTGTTTCTACCTGCCAGACTCAGGAGCACGTTCTACCAGAAGGAAAGGTAGGCAGCCCACACTTTAAAATACCAACCTTTTCATTCCATTATTGTAACTTGGTATCTTGGAGCCTTGAAAGGTGTTTTTTTTTTCTCTACACAATAATTTGTTTATTTAAGCGGAAAGAATTGCAACTTAAACTATTATCAGCCAGCATTATGGTAGGGAATTAGCAAACTACGAAAAATTGGAAGTTGGAGATGCACACAAGCAAGGTAGTTATTGGGAACATGGAAGGTGCCTGTTGGGAGGAAAATGATTCAAATGATTCAAGGAATGGGAAGCAACATTACTCTTCAAGGAGGGAAAAGCATAGATGGAGAGGTGGGAGCCTGTGAAGCCTCGTACCTGGCAGTGCCTCCAAAGCACTTCATCTGCTTACCATAAACCTCACACATGAGGTACAATGCCTGGCTCAGTCACTGTCGTATTCCTGTGCACAGCCTGGTAGGCAGAAGACGTTCAAATTTTTGTGAGTGAATGGAGAGGCCCCATCTGAGATGATGGATAGATTGTCTAAGCCAGTGGTTCTCAACCTTCCTAATGCCGCGACCCTTTAATACAGTTCCTCATGTTGTGGTGACCCCCAATTTCATTGTTACAAATTGAACATAATTAAAGCATAGTGATTAATCACAAAAACAATATGTAATTATGTATGTGTTTTCCGATGGTCTTAGGCGACCCCTGTGAAAGGGTCGTTCGACCCCCAAAGGGTCACGACCCACAGGTTGAGAACCGCTGGAAGCAGAGAGAATGAGACAATTCCAGGAGTTCGAGCTTGCCTATAGGCATGTGACTTAGTCCCAGATCAATTTGTTTCAGTCAGGGCCAGTGATAAGAAGTAAAGCGTTAAGAATGGACTGACCAGGCCAAGGTGTGACGATGAGGTAAGGACTCTCCCAGAATGAGACCAATTCTCCCAAACTCCTCTATCTGCCTAAACCACCACAATCGCTCCCCACAATCTGCAGTGCTTCCCTGCTTCCCATTTGCAAAACAAAGACAGCAAATTGTTTTGCTTGGAGTGCTTCCAGCACCACAGGAGTCCACCTTCCCGAGGAGAATGTTACCAAAGTGTAATCCCTCGTTAATCAACAGCCCTAATCAGACATCAAGAATCAACAGACACTTCCACAAAGCTGCTGAAGGCTTGGCAAGTGCAATTTTAGGTATTGATCCACACAGCTGTGCCGTTTGCCATCAAGACTAATTTTCTCCATTTCTAAAGGAAAGGGTTAGAAAATAGTTCACAGAAAATATGTAGAGTCAGGGGTCAAAATAAGAATGCAGTGACTTCACCGGTTGGGAGCTGGCTCCATCTCACCAAAGATAAAGATTAATGTTAATTCCACATACACCTGCCAAGCACATAATCACCACCACCGCCTCCCAACCTCTTCCTGCACCCAGGCCTTCATCTCCCACCGGTTTTCCCTTCATACCATCGTCACTTCCATTGGGACTTTATCATAGGAGCCTCATGAAATAGACGAATGGTCATTGTTCCTCACCGATGTTAGAAACTGGGGCAAATGGAACAACCAAGTCCAAATCAACTAAGGACACATACCTCTTGATTTCCAACTTGAGATATTAAAATCTACCACTTAGACTGTAAGCCTTCCACCAGAAGTTGGGGGAGAAGGGGAATGGGTAGAGCAATTCCTTCATCACCCCCTCTCAATTCCCCATTCATGGTGGGGCAGGCTCAGAGTTCAACCTCCAAAAAGGCTTCACCTGTGATTCTCTCTGAGCTGACACAACATAAAATGGTACATTTCTAAGAGAAACAAGCCCCTGGTCACCCACCAAGCTAGAGACATGACAACGTGAAAAATTAATGAGCTTCCAAATCCAGCTGACCACATGCTGATCCTTGAGACTAAATCAGATCATCAGCGAGGTGGGGGAGGTGGGGGGGAGGAAAAGCAGGGGATTAGAATGTCAAAGCCACAGCTACCAGCTGCTTGATAAACCTGTGAGTTGTTGAACCTGTCAGTGCCTGCAGCAGGCTCTTTGGAGTGGACCGGCGAGGTAGGATTAATTTTTAATGCTCACGGTTCCCCCAGTCCCAATCCCAAAACAAAAAGACCCCCGTGTTTTATTTAGCTCTCATTAACTGCATCCCCCGGTGAGTTTTCATCAACACGCCAAGCTGGTTGGACCACTGAAGGACTTATTTTCTTCAATGTGCAATTTTAGGCACTGTTTCTCTTCTTTCCCCTTTTGCTTGTTTCCAAGCTTTACTAAGTAGGAAAACTACTAGCTGGGGTGAAAGCCAAAACAGTATAGTGACTGAGGAGCATGCTCCGCCATCTCTTTTCTGTTAGAGTCACTAAGACAGTCTAGAGGTGGTGATGCGGGTCTTAGTAAGAAGGAATGCTTTTTTCCTTTCTGTGCCTATGTGCAGAAGCAAAATTCTGGAAAGGAAGATTCTCTTGGAGTGAGAAACAAGTTGGTAAATGTGAATTGACAGCAAATTCCAAAATTGAAAAATGAATTGCCTATATCGAATGTGGGTCACATTAGAGGAGAATTTAGAGGATGAAGTCTTGCTCTAAAGGAGCACTGAGGAATGACTGAATTGTACTTTCATAAACAGAGGCTCCCAATGAGGAGGACATGTCAAAGGAACACTGCCAAAGCTCTACCTTTTATGAGAAATCTGGGACCTATATTTCAGAGTCTATTTTGGTGTAAAACTAATCTGAAATGGACAGTACACTGAACCAAACGGAACATGAAGCCCCAGTGTGCATATTGAGTCTCTAAAATAAGTCAAGCATTAGCTCATAAACTCTTCCTCTCTCCCTCTCTCCCTCTCTCACTCTCTCCCTCCCTGTTTCCTTTCAGCTCTGAGCTTAAAGGAGAAACTTTCACTCTAGGGCAATGGTTCTCAACCTTCTGGCCCTTTAAATACAGTTCCTCATGTTGTGACCCAACCATAAAATTAATTTCTTTGCTACTTCATAATGGTAATGTTGCTACTGTTATGAATCGTAATGTAAATATCTGATATGCAGGATGGTCTTAGGCGAGCCCTGTGAAAAGGTCGTTTGACTGCCAAAGGGGTCACGACTCACAGGTTGAGAACCGCTGCTCTAGGGTTAGAAAGAGTATAGAAATCAATCGTGCGGTAGAGAGGAAGGTAGAATTTGGGTTCCTGGGTCCCTTCACCATGTTGAGACCCAAAGTGCTGGCAGCTGTACAATGGAATGCTGATGCACACTGGTGATTTTTGTGGCTCCTCTGAGCTTCAGTTTAGACATGGATCAGAGTCAGATGCAGGTTCAAATCCTAGTTCTGCCATTTAATAGGCAAATCTTTTATGACATGGGCAAATTATGTGATCTCCCTAAGCCTCACGTTGCCCATCTATAAAATCAGGATAATAAATAGCTACCCCATAAAATTGTTGTGATCGTTAAATTAACATGCATAAAGACATACAGCACTCAATACTTATCTTTCATTAGTGTAGTCTCAGAAACCTCATAACTATCATCCACCTTTCCTCTTACCCTGGCAAAGCAGACTCCCTGCCTCATTTATAACTTGTTTGTCAATAGAACAAGCACACCCTCAGACCAGGCAAACACTTCGCCATCCTTAGAACCCACCTTGAAAGAACAGCTGTCTGGTAGTCCTGCAGTTGGGCTGCCTGCCACCTGTCCCCCAGAGTGCACTTCGAGGTGGTACATGCCCTCATGTACTTGGGACAGCAGAGACCTGAGGACAGACAGTGGAAATCCTTGTGAATCACTCTGAATTGTCAAAACTAGCAGCCCCACCTGACCACTTCAAATCTCCTCCCTGCCCCTGTGCAGCAGAGCTAACCTGAGAAGGCTAAAAGGCTAATTCCAATGTAACCCTGATATTTGGGCGGGCTAGCAATCTGAATCTGTGCCAGAAATCTAATGTACATCCTTGATAACCTATCATTAAGTCACTGCCCCTTTCCTCTACAAACTGGTCTTGCAAGACCTGTTACCTAAATGCTCACATTTTACAGAGGCCATAAACCATGAACACTACACAACCCCAGAGGGGGTTATCAGCGCTGGCACCAGGCCAGGCCCTTAGATATGATCTCAAGACCCCCATCCCAACCCACGGGGCTTTTTGCAAAGCTCACGAAAGGTCCAGAAGTCCCCATCCATATTTGGGGGGCAAAGAAACCAAAAGGGGATAAAAGAAGGGCTTCCACCATATTGGTTTGCTCAGACTTTGGAGGCAACTCCCAACTACTCTAAGACCGCCGGCATAATAAAGCTGTGTAACTCCATTTCTCTAAGTGTCGCTTGGGTTTCTTCGGTCTTCTACAATAAACCAAGGATTCCTGTATTCTATTTTTGACCTCCTATATCCACTCACCCACTAGACTCTAAAGGTTGAATCCTTCAGCAAAAGAGGTTATGATTTTTTAATTGAAAGTAACTTAAATTTTTAAAAAGTCCTGAAAAGTTTGGAAGGGACATTGCTAGTTTCCATTTTTTAAAAAAATGACAGTTCCAATGAGATGAAGAGATTTATGTGTGTGAACACAGCAGGTGAAGGACAAAGTGGGGCTTGAATCCTAGGCTCTTTATGATAAAAGGCATTGATTTTACCTTTTGCCAAAAAAATTATTGACTTCATAACCATCTAAGCATCCCATAAACACTTCACATCTCCAACAAGAGAATCCCAGCCTGGCAGATGTGGCTCAGTGGTTAAGCAACAAACTATGAACCAGGAGGTCACGGTTTGATTCCCAGTCAGAGCACATGCCCGGGTTGTGGGCTTGATCTCCAGTGTGGGGCGTGCAGGAGGCAGCTGATCAATGATTCTCTCTCATCATTGATGTTTCTATCTCTCTCCCTCTCCTTCCTCTCTGAAATCAATAAAAATCTTTTTTAAAAAAAGAGAGAGAATCCCAGACCTTCTCTCCTAATTTCATGAGTATCACAGCAATTTCTTTGCCTCTTTGAGGCTGCCATTTATGTTGATTTGTATAAGGGGAAATATGATGAATAAGAAGCTAGCTTTATGAAATGCCTCCCGTGCAAACCTTCTCATCAAAAATCTTTTAGTATGACCTTAAATATTTAAATTTGCACTGTCCAATGTGCTGGCCACTAGGCACAAGTGTTTATTGAGCACTTAAAATGTGGCTAATCCCAACTAAGATGTGCTCTATGTAAATTACACACTGGATTTTGAAGATTTAATATGCAAAAAAAAAGAATATACAGTATCTCAATAATTTATATATTGACTCATATGAAATGACAATATTTTGGATATGTTGAGTTATTAAAATTCATTTTACTTGTTTCTTTTGACTTTTTTATGTGGCCACTAGAAAATCTTAAATTATATCTGTGTCTTATGTTACATTTTGATTAGGCAGTGCTGATTTAGATGTTATAATGTCTGTTTTGTGAGAGCAGATAAGTCTTTTCATGATAATGAGTGTGACAGTATTTCATTGATCATACAATATGTTTTTTACACTTGAATGGTAATTGAACTTGACAGTCATCTTCCAATGGAATACATTGAAAAAAACTAGTACTTCTTTTTCTCTAAAAAGATGGTATAAAATGAATGGTACATTATTTGTATGTTAGGACTGACAAGATTAAACAAGTGAATCTTCTGAGCTTTGACTTATTTCACAGCAAGTTCTTGCAGGAATACACATGCTCAAATATATCATAAAACCTATGGGAAATATAAATCCCAGTGTTAAAACCAATAGTAGTGCTATAAGATTTCAGTTCAACAGACATCTATTGAGCATCTTCAACTTGTAAGGTACTGGGCTAAGCACCATAAGGATTCCAAAGTGAGGTTAAACACACCCCCTGTCCTCAAAGAACTTGATTCTATAAGGATGAATCAGACAAGTGGGCAACTGACATCAGTATCAGAGAAACATAGGGCTGAAGAAAGGGGCCACTAGGGTGACACATGCTATGCTTTTGTGTAAATTATAAAAATATCCCCCTTCACAAAAAGATTTACACACACACACACACACACATCTTGTGGATGAATTACTAAAAGATGCTCCTTTCTCAAAGCTGTTGCAACCATTTCAGCCCTTAATTGTCCCCTTTTCAATGAAAGGAAAGATTACACTCAATTGGATGATCAGGAAAAAAGGTGGCATTTGGAGTATGGTTGATTAGGATTTCAATAAGGAGAGATGGAGGAGGAAGGAACACAAGATGAAAGGAAATGACCATGTTTTTTTCTCTCTACCAATGACCCACTTTTATGAAGCATCTCTAACACATGAGAAGAGAAAGAATGAACTAGTATAAACTTCATAGGTCAACACAAACTTGAGTAGAACAATAGATTACCTGGAATGCTATACAAACTCAGCAAACACACTGAGAGGATTAAAGCAACTTTCCTTTCTAGCTGGTGTTGGGTTTATGCACAGTCATTAAAATTATGCCTATTTCAAAAGACGGATTCTTTAGACAGCAAAATGGAACCACTTATTGAAATCCTACTAGTAATAACTATAGAGCTTCTTGCAAAAAAAAAATTTAAATAGCTGGAAACCCAATCTAGCTCCTTCTTATAAATATCTCAAAATTCTCCACCATACTCTCACCCTCCTTTAAGCCTTGATAAGGACCTTTTAAGAAACATATTCACATAGAACATTTTAAAAGACTATAGCAAATAATTGCAGCCACAGCAGGAGTGGCTCTAATTTGCCACCAAAATACGACTGAAATAAGCAAAGCACTTGTCCTGTCTGATCTTATTTCAGGGAGTTATACCTGGTCTTGCACATCACCACCGGCAAATCCAGGAAGACAGGGGAGACATCACAGGGGATGCTGGGCAGTGCAGGCACAGCCACATTCACCAGGTGTATTTCCAGCTGAGAACCATTGGTGGGATAAAGGAGACTGGACTCCAAATCTAAGCATAAGGAAAAGAGGACTCTCAGGCTGAGCAGAGTCATAACCCGCACAGGAGAATATAAAAACATGGCCACATGGGGGCAATGTGAGACGTTGAGTTAGCCTGAGGATTAAATCAGTGGTTCCCAAACTTATTAGGCCTACCACCCCCTTTCCAGAAAAAATATTACTCAGCGCCCCCTGGAAATTAATTTTTTTTAAAAATTTTAATAGCAATTAGACAGAAAGATATATGTATTAATGTTTCTACCTTTTTCATAAAATATAGTAAAGAAAGGTGTAAATTAGAAACATTGAAGTTTGAAATTATGAAACTATTTATTGAACTCAGAATAGAAAGGTAATACAAAAAAAGTTAAAACAAATGCACCTGTGGCCATCACCGCCCCCCTGGATTGCTGCAGCGCCCACCAGGGGGCGGTAGTGCCCACTTTGGGAATCACTGGATTAAATCAATGCTCCTCATTCCCAAGGCATTTATGACTGCTATGTAAATGAGTGTTCATTTGTAAATTCATATAAAATGTTTTATCTCTTCAAGTTGATCCACCTAAACCAGGAAAGAATATTTCAACCCTCAAAATTACTCTCTACTGTGGAAGGGATGGATACATAAGCCATGGTTAGAAGCTCCCATGTATTGAATGACCTACAAGGAAGATAACCAAGATTCTGGGGGGACACACTGCCAAGTGCTATGTATGTCAAGTGCTTCCATACCTCACTGAGGGTCCCTAGAGTCCCATCCACCCCACAGGTGGGATAAGAAAGTGGACATGGGCTGGTATGGCTCCATGGTTCAGCGTCAACCTATGAACCAGGAGATCATGGTTCCATTCCCGGGCAAGGCACATGCTCAGGTTGTGTGCAGGAGGCAACGGATTGATGATTCTCTCTCATCATTGATGTTTCTAACTCTTTCTCCCCCTCCTTCTCCCTTCCTCTCTGAAATCAATAAAAATATTAAATTAAAAAAATAAAAGAAAGTGGACACAGCTTATAATGAACTCTGCTTCTGTGACATTAACACGTGATCATCTGGAAACACAGAAGCTGGTCAGTTGGACTGTCTCCCTTCAGGCCCTCTTTTACACCTGTCCTTAGACAAGGAAAAACACCACCGACTCATATTCTTTAGAATTCTTTAGATTAATAATTAAGAAACTTGTATTTGGTAAGACACAAACCTACCATCAAAAATGACTGTGATCCACGTTCCCCCTGCAATGCTACCTTCTTCAGGTTCAATGTGGAAACTCTGGCAAGGCACTATAATTAAGTGAGAATAACACTGCTTTGAGTCAGATCATCACAGCTTCCCG